AGAGAGAGCAAGAAAGCATAGCCACAAGTTCTGACTAAAAGGTTGAATCCAGCCACATGTTCCTGCTTGAGCAGAGTCAATCCTTGACTCTGACTTCCTTAAGCTCCGACCACATGCTTTGGCTTTAGAGGAAGGGGCCCTGTTCGGGAAGGGCAGGCCTGAGTTGTTTGTAGCTCCGGATTTAAGCAAGTAGCTCCAATTGAGTGCAACTGCCTGGGGCTACAGTCAGTCCAGCCTGAGGCCAAGCCGACCTGGGCCAGAGCTGGGCCCAAGCTAGGGAGCCGGGCTGCTCAGGCTGGAAACGGGAACTGCCACCAAGCCAAGCAGTTTTTAATGGATTTGTGGCATGTTGGGCACCAAATGTAGATGTAACTAACTGTCTTATTTAAAAAGAAACACAGAACCAATACAAAGAAGAAAGACAAGAGATCAAAGCTAAGAGCCTTACCCACCTGCTGCAGCTAGCCTATCCAGCCAAGAGACCTCTCCAAAAGAGAGCTACTTCCTGTTTGTTTGTCTTTATATAAACTTTCTGTTCTGCCTTCTCATTGGTTGTAAACCCAACCACATGACCGCCTCTTCACTGCCTGTTTGTACAGTCATCCAGGTCTTCTATGGTTGGTATTGAGATTAAATGTGTGTGTCTCCAATCCTGGCTGTATCCTTGAACACACAGAGATCTACCTAGCTCTGCCTACCAAGTGCTGGGATTAAAGGCATTCACCATGAATGCCCTGCTCTGCTATGGCTTGCTATTAGCTCTGATCACCAGGCAACTTTATTTATTAACATACAAATAAAATCACATTTTGATACAAATAAAATATCACCATACTCTTGACATTTTAATATGTGGGAGAGACAGCTGACATCCTAATAGCACAAATCCAGACAATTCTTCCCCAAAATGATGGAAGAGCCTGGCTTGGTCTATGAAAGCCAGCCTGCTATCAGGAGGGGGTTCCAGCTTGGCGCTAATCTGAATCATTCATAGCCTGCTACTCAATCAGTTTGATGCTATTCTACGTGTGGCTCAAAACTTAAACAGGAATGAAACAGCTTTCATATTATAGGAAGTCCTAAGGATATTCTTAGCCAACATCTCCTGAGGCTTAAGCCCCCTTGTAGATGTATCCAACTGTCTTATTAAATAAGAAACACAGAACCAATGTAAAAGAGAAAGCCAAGAGGTCAGAGCTCAGAGCTAAAACCTTATGCTTCCTCCTGTGGTGCTCCTACCTCTCCGAAAGAGAGCTACTTCCTGTGTGTTTGTCTTTAATATAGTCTTTCTGTTCTGCCTTCTCATTGATTGTAAACCCAAACATATGACTGCCTCGTCATTGCCTGTAAGTACAGCCCTCCAGGTCTTAAAGGTGTATGTCTCCAATGCTGGCTGTATCCCTGAACACACCGAGATCTACCTAGCTTTGTCTACCAGGCGCTGGGATTAAAGGCATGGGCCATCACCGCCATGCTCTTGCTATGGTTCTAATAGCTCTGACCCTGGGCAACTTTACTTATTAACATACGATTAAAATCACATTTCAGTACAAATAAAATAGCACCATACCCCCTCTTGGCCCTTAGCACTTAGCAGGAATATGTCTTCAGGGAGTGCCATTTTTTTCACCCATGCAGGATACCATCTTTCAAATTACTGAACTTACATTTATTTTCCTGGAGATCCTGTCCCAAAGTTTTAATTACCATATTTATGTATTACCTCTTGAAAGCCTTTTCTTTTCCATGAGCAACAGAAAGATAGGAACTGACAAGTGGGGACATGGAAAAGAATTAGAAGGAGTAGAGAGTTCAGAAACTAAAACCACTCTAGGTTGTTAGAGAAAATGAGTTTATTATGACACTGAATGAAAAATAATGTGCAAATGTGAAAAAAAATAAAAAGCACTGAAATACTGGGAATTAAACACAGAACACAGTTCTAACTATCTATCAACTTATCTATCTTTCTATCCATCTATCTATCTATCTATCTATCTATCTATCTATCTATCTATCTATCCATCTCTCTTATCTATGGATATCTCATTTTTGCTCCCCTCTAAGACTTCTCAGTAACACAGGCCCAGTGATGTTCTACTCACCTGGGTCTATGCTACTACAAGAACACACTTTTTTTCAGAATGGTCTACAACCAGGAGCCTGGATGAACCTTCCAAATTTCAGTCATTGCCACTTGGAATGTGTCACATTATCTGACAAGTGGTCAGTCATGAAGGAAACTGGAAGGGTGAAAGACAAAGCAGCCTACTGTCCTATGAGAAAAGACACTCTTATTGCAGAGCTTTGCAAAGCACTACAAAACATGAAATAATCTGCATGGAGGAACAGTTCTGCTGAGCTGGGCATGTAGCTGTAAGCTACAGCACTAGCTCAGTGTAAAGGAGGTCCCAAGGGAAAGTGCTGACCGCTCATGTGAATGCAGGAGGAGGGCTAAACAGGCTCCAGGGTCATTTTCAATGAGGACTGACAGACAGACACTGTCATAGTAGTGCTTCTTGAGGCAGTTAGAATAAGAAAGGTATATAAATGCACACTACACC